CCCCTTATCTCAGGGTCTGGATGACCGCCCCTCCACCCCCTCAGTATCTGAATGTCTGGATCCGCCACTAATTCCCTCTAACTTTCCCCGCCCCCCATCCCTTACCCTTTCGATACCTGCCATGCAGCAGGCTAAAGAAAGCCAGCTTTTTCAAAATTTGAACCTAATTTGCACATACGGTTCCGCCTTCGACGAATTTCTAGAATGAGCAAAAATTGTCATAAACAACGACGTCGTCAGCAAAGCAAATATTCGCTTTTATTAAAATCTGAATCATTGGTAGCCTCCCCGCAGACGTCCTTTGGGGTTCGTTTGTCACGCATTCATTTCTCCCCCACGGACGTCTGCTAAACAGAGCCGACTTTTACGTTCTGGATTGTTTGAAGAAGCCAATAAGCGGTTAGTTATTGTGTCACGATCAGCCAATCACGCGCCGTGATATAAGTGATGTCTCTGGATGTCTCTGGTATTCTCAAGTGAATTATTTATTTGCACGGCTATCTTCTACATGAGTAGCCTCCCACGCAGGCGTTTTTAGGGGAGCTCGTTTTTCATCCCTCCCCACAAACGCCTGCTCAACGGAAAACAACATTCCTTTCTCATTGTTTTATTTGCGTGGTAAGTGACCAATCAACAATTGTGCAATAAAGTGTTGACAGGCTAAACACGACTGAACGTGACCGTAGAGTTACCGTTTTCCTTCTTTTTTTTCCTTCGAAAAGGTTATGCAGTGCACGGAGTATTCTAAATTTTGACTAAATCTTATTTTTGCCGCTCTAAATCTAACATTTATTAGAGGTCAGAAAGCTTTCCCAGTGTTTAATGCAGATCGAGTAATTATCAGATTACCTTGCGGTCAAGGTCAACTTTCCAGAATTTGGAAAGTACAATGTGATTGGCTAAGCTTGGGAAAGGAATGTTGTTTTCGGTTGAGCAGGCGTTTGTGGGGAGGGATGAAAAACGAGCTCCACTAAAAACGCCTGCGTGGGAGGCTACTACATGAGACGACTCAAACGTTTTGAAGAAATCACAGAAACGACGCAATAAAGCTGCAGTCAGCTGTATATTTTTTTCGGAAGTTGTGACTATAAAATAATCTGCTTTTCTTTGAAAGACTTCAGACAACAGTCTCTCACACGAGCGCGGAGCGGTTTTCAGCGCGGTCGAAAACAATAATTACTATTAACTCTGTATATATTCGAAGTATTAAGAAAAGATAACTTGTAAACGTGTATAGGGAAGATATTCAAAGCATTCTTCGAAAACAAAGGCCGTTTCCTTTTTTGCGAAATGTAATTCCACCAAGGTCATGGGTCGCGAACCAAGGACCAGTACGCAAAATTTGGTTATATTTTTTCAAGAGTCGGTAAAACGAAAAATTCGAAGTCTACAGTAATGTGCTTCCAACGGCAGAAAAACGTTTTTCTGAAAAACTTGTTCTGCAAAAAGGCACGTCCTCCCATTGCGTTTTATTTATTCACAAGCTAAGTAAACATGACCACGGTGCCGCCGAGTCCAAACTTCAAGCTAGAACGACAAATTAACCTACCTGTCAACAAACTTTAATCTCGCTCCTTCAAAGAAAGAAAGAATGCTTATAATCAATAAATCATTGAACCTTTCATTGTTCATTGTATTTTATTTCTCGACGAAATATTTAATCATGCTCGGGAAAGTCGCCGACCAAGGACCACATAGTAACTGTACAAGTCACTCGCTAACATTTCCTCCACCGATCGATCTTCAACCAAGCTTCTGGGCTTCCGTAAACAACAGAGAAAGTCCCTCTATCGACAACCCTCATATTCTCTTTGCTAATATCACTGAGCGTTACAGCAGGAATACCAATATTTTCCAGCTTTGTAGATTGATCTTTCAAGATTTACCAGGGGAGAAACAACATCAACAGTAATGTCCAGTAGTTCCACGTAATATGTCGCAAACAAGTAGCAAAGCTTGAGAGATAAGGGATTTGCCAAATCCCGTCGGCAAATTTATGAACTCATCGGTCTTCGCTATAAAATTTGCAGGATAGCTTCTCTCTCATACTTGTTTAACTCTGTATTAACTACAAATTTCTCGCACACTCGATCAAAAGCCTCACTGATCGTGAGAATCTTAAGAAGCGGCTCGGGTTACGTTTTACAAAAATCCGTAAACGGCCTGTGATTGGTGAACGTAAAAGTCGGCTCTGTTTAGCAGACGTCCGTGGGGGAGAAATGAATACGTGACAAACGAACCCCAAAGGACGTCTGCGGGGAGGCTAAATCATTGGATAATGCAACGAATTTGCTCAAAATTAAAAAGAAGCTGAAAATCGGTCATTTTAAAAAATAAAGTCTGGAAGTATTTTCGATATTTCGTAGGCGTTTTAAATAAATTAAACAAATATTGCACTCGCGCTTGTTGGATATGAGATGATTATAGCCAACTTGGCGCTACGCGCCTTTTTGGCTACTACCATCGCATATCTAACGTGCACTCGTGGAATCATCCTCTATAAGCTTCTATAGGCTTGTCCAAGGAGCGACTGGAAGCGATGAGTTCGATTTTAAATTGCAATGATGAAGCAGGAGGCGATGTTGCCGTACAGTTCGTGTATCTGGAGCTCGCCATCTTTAGTAACACATTGAGAGCTCAATCGAGAACCTCAGTCGAGAAACGCCCGTCTGGACAACCTCGTTCCCAAGAGAGAGCACCCTGGAAACGAGGGACATGGCTTAAACCGCTTGTGACGGATTTTGTGACGGTCACGGTCCACTTTGACACTTAACTTTGTGCAGAGCGAGGTCTTTTAAACTAACACTGACATGAGCGGGATCCAGACAAACAAGCCAGAGTAAAATGTCAAAAAAAAAAAAAAAACATTCAATATTAGTTAAAAATTCGATTGTAAATCCTATACGGAGCCTGGAGCATGCTCCGGGAGCAAAACCCCTCGTGTGTATCGGCCTTAAACGAAAGGTGCAAGTGAAGTGGGCAGCATCACTTTTATTGTCTGTCTCGAAATTTCGCTTTCGCACTCTCCCACACTTTGAAAAGTGTACTTTGACATTTTTTTAACGTACTGCCCGCCTGTTTTGGTAGATGTGAATCCCTTTAGCTAGATAGTGCCTCGAATAGTTTTTCAGAAAATATCCAGGGGCGAATGGGTTGAATTGTTTCTATAAACTACAATCACTTTGATTGCAGCGCACCGCTCAGAAACACTAGTGTATGTACCACATTTTTAAAGACTTTAAAATTTAAGACAAGAAATTTCAAAGATTTTAATTGGGTCATTAGGTGTTAACGATTATTCCATTCATCTTCAGTAAAATTGCCTTTACATTAATGGAGATTACAATGGTCAACGAGAAGAAAGAATGCATGTATTTAAAATTATTCTTTTAATTCGCAATTAAAATGGTGTATGCAATTACTTTACACTATATTTCCTCTTAAAAAATATATCTCCTAAAGAACCTATCATAAATATTACTTTCTTATTTTGACTAAAAATAAATAATTTATCACTGGGGAGAAATGTTTCCCATTGATAAACTATTCGCGTACTTGATCATTTTCTTGGTAGCTAGGACAGCTATTAGTACGCCTCTAGGTCGCTAATTTAATTAATCATTATCATAGTTCCTCTATATAAAGGAACAGCCTAAAAACACATTGGAATAACAGAACACTCTGACATAATGCTTCAGTTTTCTTTAAAATTACTCTGGTACTATAAGTAATACCTCAACTATAAATGCATGATTTGACCTTCTGTGGCCAGGATGCAAATAGATAGCAACTTGAAAAAATTGAGCAAACTCAGGGTGCAAAGAAAGTCAGTTTTACAGCTTGCCATTCGGGTAAACTGTATCTCGCATGTACTAGCCCAAAATTCTTTTCAACTAGCCCCAAAAACTTTTTTGATAAGCAGGATTGATTACACAGTTCTCATGTAATTTGAATTCCTCAAAAAACTCCACTTGCCCGTCGTGCAAGTTAAGAACAGAATTCACTAGCCCAATAGCAAAATCCACTAGCCCCGGGCTATCGGACACTACTTTCTTTGCAAGCTGAAACTTTTTTCAAGTGAGGTGCCTAAACTTAAACACTTCTCCCAGTACAGCCCAGGTTTGTTTTTGCTTTGTTATAAAGATGGGACTATAAATTTCTAAAATTTATTAATGCAACCTCCAGTCACTAAAAAGGGCCCACTCTATAAATATCAAGAGAAAGAGTGTTTAGTATCCTATAATTTGATAAGACACAGCCGTGCTTTAAGCCTAAATGTTAAGCTGTTTAAAAACTCGATAAAAAACTCTCGTTCGGTTATTGAGTACAGCTTCAATCACTGCAGCTTTCTTTTAGAGTGTTACAACCACTAAGTACTATGTGTTTTAAAAAAACAGCAAACTAATCCATCGTAACGTAAGCTTCATATCCTACATATACCACATCTAAAGACACTTTTCTATTAAAAGAGGACTTCGGATGTGTTACGCATAATCAAGAATAAGTTGATTCCAGTTCCGGCCCCCTGTCACGCAACGTTTGGAGAGATAGTAACTCACTCCAGGTGTTGCGTGACAGAGAAACAGACTCAGATCTGGACTGAAACGCGGTGACACAAAATGAAGAAAAATGAACGAAAACCACCCAAAAGAAACTTACGAATAAAAATCACAGGCCAGTTACTTAAGCAGAATTAAACTGGTGTCTAACTAACCGGCCTTAAAGACTTTTCAAAGGTATTTAACAACTGTAAACGACCGCTTACAAATAGTTCTAAAGGTCCACTTATTATTTCTTTTTCTTCCTTCTTTTTTTTTAATCTATGCAAGGCTGGTCTAAGTTGGAATTCGTTTAAATAACCGGCCTAGTGTTGCCTTTTTCGGACTACAACAAAAATGTTTTTTTTCAAAAACGATAATAATAATTATGGAGTTGCTGACGCGAAATTAAATGACTAAAATAGACCATAAAGAGTTGAGTTTAAGGCCATTGTAAATGAATTATTCAACTAAAGCGTTAAAGTCGTCCAGGCGATCTTTAAACCTCCTAAACTCGGTTTCGCCCCAGGCCTCCCACACGGTCAACTGGTAACGCTCTGTGAATTGATCTTCGTTCGTCGTGCTCCCTCGATCGAGCTCCAGCCGACGAAGGCAGACGATTTTACTCGTGCCACTGGTGACAATCTCATCCACTTGCCCGTTCTGGTAACCCAGGAGATTGTCGCTCTCAAGTTGCGCAAACACGTGACCAGGAGGAAGTCCGTTATCGGCTGAATTTACGTTCACTGTGAGTATGTCACCAACACCACGCCCAATCCACAACGTGCCATTTACCAACAGAAGCGCTGTCACGCGGTTTATTGAACCGGCTAGTATGCGCAAACGTGGTCTACGCGCCCAAGGTTTCGTAGAGGTAGGTGGCACATTGTTATTATTATTGTTCTCTTGAGGTTTTGGCCGACGTTGCGACTTTCTTCTCTGTGAACTCATCAGCGAAGGCGCACGAGAGGAAGAGTTGAAACGCATCTGCAAAGTGTCCATTGAGGGACAGTTTTGAGAACTACCTTCGTCAGAGCGAGGAACTTTCTTTGTGCCCTCCACAAAGGCTTGTCGCGTTTCTTCCTTGTCTACTAGTTCGAATTGAGCTTCATTTTGATCACCATCGAGTTCTTCGACTTTTTCGTCGCTTGTGATCACAGACTCGGTCCCAACTTGTTGGGTGTCAGGCTCACTCTTTGAGGAGCAGCTCCCAATATTTTCTGTCTCACTAGAGTCTTGCTGTTGATCAATTGTAGACCCTTTGTGACTCTCGGTTGATAAGCCTCCATTTGAATCTAGCTCCTGTTCGGTATCAAAAGGTTTCATTTGTTCCAGTTTGCTATGAACCTCCTCACAATTTTCCCTTAAAGAGGCCTTTTCATCTTGCAAATCATCTTGCAAATTCGTGCTCGAAGTATTCTTCACTGTTCGTTCAGTGTCACTTCTCGTTATGGAGGTGATACGTAGAGACGAAATGCCGCTATCAAGGGAAGCACTAGATTCGGTTTTCGCTGAAAGGGAGCGACCACGGCTGGGCAAGGTTTCCTGGGAGGCTTTTCCCCTAAGAAACCGTGCCTGTGAACCGGGAATAGAAACAGGAGGAGAAACAGATTTTGCTGAGATGTCCGAATCCTCGTCCTCGGAAATTCCGAAACCAGGGCTGGGAGTATTCCGCGGAAAGGAATAATATTTGCGCAAGGATTCTGTTTTGACATCTTCGTTCGCTTCGCGGTTCATCGCCTCTTTAAACATAGCTTCCGTGTAAGACGGCTGGTCAAAACTTTCCAGGGGATCACTTATTGGTGTGTCACGTACGCGGTTCAAACTTTCTTGTCTCTCCTTGCGACGCGGCTCCATTGCCTCGCTACACAACACCTTTCCAACCGCACTATCAACATCGCAGTCAAAGATGTGAGTGAGCTGGCGAGTGCTCACTTCCCACTGCAAAATTTTCGTCGACTTTCTATCGGCGTTCCAAACACGCGCGCCATCAGTGACCATGATTCGAACATGGGTTCTCTGCGTCTGGTACACAGCTATCTCGTCCAAGACACGCAGAGTTTTCGTGTCCACAATGACAATCTTATTGCCACATCCCACCCATAACTCTTTGTTTTCGCGAACAAGGACCATGCTTTTGGCTGGCATACCATTTTGACCAAGGTTCACGACCTATAATTTGACGAAAGAGACAGATAAATGTGCGAAATATAAACGTATTTATTTGTCTTCGCTAATTCAATTTGTATCATATGTTAACTCGAGCTGAGTGAAAGAAATCTTCTCAAGTCTTGTCCAATCTGAAAAACACGCTCAATTTACGTTTTCAGACTTAATTCGCCTGGACACAAGGTGCAACATCACATCGACGCAACTTCGTGCGACGTCAAATGTAAACATGAGGAAATCACGGTTGCAAAGTTTTGACCTACAGACCCAACATTATATGACACGACCACGACAGCACGATGACGCAAATCAACAATCGGCGACAAAATGAGTTGAGACACTTTGCCCAAAAGGGGGCTTTTTTACGTTTTATTAACTTCAAAAGGAGGAAATAATAATTATAGCTTTTCCTCCCCCATCCCCTCCATGCAATGTTGTGCCCATGTTCGAGCTACCTATAGAAAACAACAAACACCCCAACTTTGAATGGAGGGGACAGGGGAGGGGCGCGGATTCTTTTGTTCTCCTGAGTTACCGTAGGTAAGGTAAAGTAAGGTAACGCCTTTATTTAAAGAGGGTAGACACGTGATAGTGACGAAAAAAACTGATAAATTTGTGCCCCTCTATAAAACATAAAAACAAAATTAGTATTAAAATAATTTTACACTATCACTATAAAAAGATAAAAATTAAGTAATGATCTGGGTAAGGTGGATAGCAATTTCTTTTGTTATGCGGCAACGGTGCTTTCCCCACATAGGAATGTTCTCATTTTTACACAGAGAATGCATTAACCTATATGAAGGCCGTTTACGCAATAAAATGCATTTACACTCCACTTTGAAAGGGTGTTTTTTTGTGTAGAAAGATTTTGACCAATCAAAAGAGTTGAAAACAACAGCCAAGAAAAGTTTACAATTTTACATGTTCCCCACATAGGATTTCTTTGTTATTCAAACTGAGACCAGATTTTGTTATATGGAAGATGGTTGGAAAGTAAGGATGAATATATGTACTGCTTTATGAAGTCTTGTTAACTTTTGCTGTTTAAGCCAATCAGAAGTAAGTACAGACAATAGAAAAGTTAGCACCTTTTTTGCATTCCAACATGTTCGTTGCCGTTCAGTGCTATCGTTCTTATCTGGACCGTTTCTTAACATTAATGGACGCAATTTAAAAACAAGCAAAAATAGTATTTAGAAAACTATCTGGAGTCTTATGTAGAAATTTGAACTATTTAAAAACTATTAACTATCTAAAACAAGTTATTGTAAAAACTATTTAAAAGATATTCAAGATTACCTGTCTCTTTCTGCTTAGCGATCAAATTCGTATTCAATTTCTTTTTACTAGATTTCACATTTTTCACCTTCTTTACGTCCATGGACAGTTAGACCCTATTTGAGTACAATGTCTCAACAATTTTGTCGCCGATTGAAGGCTATATTTACGCTATACCGTTTTCGTTCCGACACGGAAAGCTGTCCGTCATAGTATGAGCAGCAACGGCACGGAACTAGAATAAGTCGTTCAGACACATCGAAAGTCAAGCCAAAGCGGTTGGCTGAGAGGGTTTGGTGACGAGAATTCCAATCCTCATTCCTAAAAATTTACTTCCGTCTCAGTGGTTTCCAGCCTCGCTCCTATTTATTTACTTCCGCTACTGTCCGAATACCTGTTCACACTACACCAAAGTGAGGAACATACCTTATAAGAATTCAGGGCTCGAAATTAAAAAAATCCTCGACCAACTGGAGAAATATGGTCTCCAGATGCAAATGTGTAGTCGCCAAATGACACAGCTCATAGTATGGCGCAATCCATCACATTTGATTGCTTGAAAATATCGCGGACAGAAGTCGGTATAAATTTGGAGGTAAACTGGCTTTGTTTATGCGATTTGGCACATTTTTTATGACGAAAGCAAAGCAAGATAAGATGAAATGTTTGTTTTAACTCAACTCTATTAATCTAAATCTAAATCATAGAAAAATCTGGTCGCCAAAGTGGCGAACAGGAGAAAAGGAGAAAACGTTAGTCGCATTGGCGACCGTGTTAGTCGCAGTTTCGAGCCCTGCTCAGATATATGTGAAGCTTGATTTCCGAGATCGGCGAGGCGCTCCGTTACAGAGTTCGCGCCAAAATCACCGTTCTTAGATATAGTTGTCGCGTCGGCGCAAAAGCTATCCGGTATGGTTGAATTTCGAGAGATCGGCGAGGCCAGTTTCGCTCCGTTACAGAGTTCGCGCCAAAATCACCGTTCTTGTGTGTGAACAGTAGCCCTATCCGGTATGGTTGTCACAGTCCGGCGCAAAATCACATGGAACATCGCCGCCTGGAATATCGACCTAAGGGACAGCAGGTGATCACAGCCAATAAAACGTTTTGGTTGTTTTATCTTGGAGAGCTCAAGGAACTAAAACGGCAAAATCGCTTGTAACCAGCATGATATTTTACGACCTAAGTAGCCCATCACCTTGGAAGTCCTCTAAAGTCTCGCCTATTGTTTTAGGGTCTACTATCATTAAAAAGCCCTTACATGCATAAACTCATAATCTAAAAGGTATATTTTAGCGCAGTTTTAACCAAAAACAACAACAACAAACAAACAACAACAAAAAAACAAACAAACAAACAAACAAAAAACCTGTTTCTCCAATTACACTCTCTTTAATTCGTAAATTGAATAAAAACAAATAAGTCATAAACCTGAATATTGGACCACTTGTCACTCTCTTTTGCGACAATCTCGTCATCTTCCTTCAATCCAAGCGTCACGTCATTGTGAGAACATCTTCGTTCGCTGCTGCTTTTCTTAGAAAACACAACTAGAGTACCATTGGCAAGAGACGCGTACACATTTTTAACGCTTTTGCCTCCCTGAAAGAAATATCAAGCGAGATACATAGGTGATACAGTAACGGCTGGCTACACGTTGTACAAAGCGTCGGGTACAGTCGAATAAAGGGCAAAATTTGAGATTTTTTAGCTGAGCTATACTATTCACCATTTTCACATAGACCATAATGCACCTTGTTTACCCCCCAAAATTTTGCCTAACCAGTGTCTTCGATTTCTCTTGGGACGACTGTAATACCCAGGAGAAATTGGAAACAATGGTTATGCAAAATTTTGGAAGGTAAACAAGGTGCATTATGGTCTATGTGAAAGTAGTGAATTGATCATTTAAGGTATACTGGGCTCAATTACCAGCCGCTGTTCGGGAAATGAGCCCGCGTTCCTCTCCCGAACAGAGTCTTCACGGCGAGGACCGAAAGAGCGGCAGAAATCGACCTAAAAGGTATACCACCTTCTGCCATACTTCAGTGACATTTGTAATGACACATACAAAAAAACTTTCTCTAACTACTTTCTACGGAATTGTCGGCATAGCTGAAGAGGAATTAGTCTGGGGAAAATCATCATTGGAAGAAGCACATGTATGGAAATCGGCTCTCTTTCTTTATCACATTTGTAATGACACGTACTAAAAAACTTTCTCTAACTACTTTCTAAGGAATTGTCGGCATAGCTGAAGAGGAATTAGTCTGGGGAAAATCATCATTGGAAGAAGCGCATGTATGGAAATCGGCTCTCTTTCTTTATCACCTCTTGGCCACAGCGAAATTACCGCAGTTGAAACAGGACGCGTTCCAAAGCCCATAACGCACAAAAAGGTTCTCTTGACGTTTTAGGCAAAATGAGAGTCAACTATCCTGTAACTAAACACGAGAGAATGACTGGACAACCGACAATTTGACTAACAGTACACGACTGTTTAACTGTGACAATATACGGATCAAAATGCACCTATGACATTGCAAGTCTTCATAGCCAATAACATCACGGCTTAACTGACAAACGACCAATAATATGGCGACTTAATTGACCAATAGGGTCAATAACCAGAGTAAAAAACCATCAACGGACGTGATACAACTCACTTTGACTCTGAAGATGACTACCGTACAGGTTGTCGAAATGTCAGTCACTGTCAACAGGGGTCCTATTCAGGACTACGTTCACCCGGATGATCAAACTCAACCTACTTATGAAATGACTCTTGGTTTCCAACCTTTCACAAACTAACACTTAAGATAACAACATGAGGATCAATGTTCACCAACCATTAATTTGAATCGAAAAGCACCAATTATTTACTGCAAGCACTAGAGACCAGAGCAGCAACAAGCGATTGACACACAGCGATCAATGTAAGAGTCACTGCCGTAAGATGAACGATAAACAAAGCTTATCCGTCAAAAGGTGAGCTCTCGCGAGAGTTAGCAGAGCTAGTTTCAAAAACTGACGTGTTGTGGCTCACACTTGCGTCATACTGTGAACTGTCACTTAAAAGCCCCACCACTTAATAGCTAGCCTGCGAAAACAACCGTTTCTCCTCGCTCCTCGCCGATGGGGACGTTTCGCGAAAAGTCCGCGGCGGCGAATAGCGAGAAGAAACGGCTGTTTTCGCAGGCTACTTCTTAGCCCTCCCAATCCTCACAGTCCTAGGCCCAGATTCCTGTTTGGATCCAAAATTCAAGCCTTTTTTCCAGGCTTTTTCCAAACAATAATTTCACTTTTCCAGACTGAAGGTTATCAAATAGGTGATAAATAGAAACCTTAAAAAAACGCAGGAACAAAGCTTTTTTCATGATACCCTGCAAACATACGGGCAAGATTGAGTAAGATTTGACCAAAACGAAAAAATTGTCAATTATAAAGCACTTGTAGCTTTAAAAAACACTCAAGACTTTTTACCATTTTTCAATATTTAATCTCTATTTTCCAGACTTTTTCCAGGTCTGGCAAATTGCTGAGCAAATTTCAAGACTTTTTCAAGAATTCAAGACTTTGTACGAACGCTACTCAGGGCTTATAAGCGGCAGTTTAGGGTAAGCATGTAATCAAGTCGTTATGCGAGTATGAAGAAATGACAACATGGTCATAACGAACCAAGTTCGGATTGCCTCATGATTCATGCAACTAGCTCGCTTTATACAAAAATACCCTTATTTACCTGTGGTTGAAACATGTCAAAAGAAGCGGACTCAGAAGAGGCACATTCAGTCAGTAGCTCTAAGACAGGGGCCTTAGTAGTGTAGGACCATAGTGTTGAGGGCGAACGCCAGGACCGTCGTCCGAACACCTCTACTGTGCACCCCTATGGAGGCAAACAATAACGACGCTGTCATATGATCTTTCAGCTAGCGTGCCCGTTCAAATAAAACAAGTCATAGGGCTTGCATCAAGAATCTCTGGGGTTAGATTTACCCTGGGTGCCAAAGACTTTTCATGCGCAGTTTTCGGTTTCGGTTACCTTTTTATAGTGGCCCGCGCTACTTCGTCGTTCGTGGCTTCGGCCTTCGGTCGAAGATGTGTCGGCCCCCGAAGTAACCCATCGCAAGCAAGAAATAACCTCTGGTACCCAGGGTAGTCTAGGTTAATCTTGATCGAAAGAATTATAGCACGGTAATACATTACAAGCGTGGTTTTTGTTATTGACACATGGAATCTAGGAGATACGTTAAATTTACTGGGAAATACCAGATGAAATAGAAAGCAATAAACGCACGTAAACAGGAGCCGATCGACTCCTGACGTAAAAGATAATGATACTGTTCAGTTATAATTATGTTGTTGAAACCAGAGTACTACTAGACCTTTTTTAATCCTGCTAGTTCCAGTCCCTCCCGGAGACGGAAAATGGGAGTGTGTGGGTAGGGAATAACGGGGGAAGGAAGAAGTCCTCTACCCAGTATTTACTACGTGCCTTCTTGTCAACCGCCACCCCACTCTTCCCAGTTTCTGAGCATTTGCGTTTGTCATAAAGCCTACTTTAGCTCGAAAGAGGCTTCCAGAGAAGAGGAAGTTATCAAAGTTGTGGATAAAAGGTGAAAAACTTACGTGTTTACTTAGCATTAAACTGCCATTGAGATAAGCAAGGAAATAAGGCATCTCCGAGTGCCACTGTTAAATCATTTGTGACTTCATTCGTCAACATAAACTTGAAATGAAACTAAAGTGATATCACAAAGGGTTCGCTCTTCCTATATTTAACCGATATTAGCCTGCTAAAACAGCCGAAAATAAATCAATGTTTACATAATAAATAGTCATGGGGTTCCGAATGCAAATTTGTTCAATTTTACGTTTCTCGATTTTGGTGAACTCTTGTGTTCTTCTACGAACGAGCTCCAGCAAAACTCAAATGCTTCTTCTAGAGAAGAATATATTCCACTAATAATGACTGTTTTTGACCAATCAGCTCTTTTGACCGGATTCCGGACAGATTTTACGTCATCAGTGTGGAATTTCTGTCAAAGACTCGCAGACGTTCCTCCGCGCTAAATGTCCCTGGCGGCGAGGAGAGAGGAGAAACGACTGTTTTCGCAGGCTAAATCGATATACACTATTAACGTGTGCCCAAAAGCATTCTTTATCTATCTTATAATTCTGTCTTGGGAGTTCTCCATGTGAAAGGTTTCCTCAGGGGTAGTCTGAAATGTCCTCCGTGTCTTCTCCCCTCTCCGTCCTCGAAGAGACGCTGACATTTCAGACTACCTCACGGGCGGATCTAGAAGATTTATGAAGAGGGGATCGAGGCTTCCGGTGTGCTAACTTTATAGATACCATTCATTGCCCAAAGAACTCTGAACGCATTTGTGTCAAGAAATTTTAAAGTCTCGGGAAGACTTTTGGACCATTGGGAATTAGCGCTCTATAAATACTGTATACTGTATTATGATAATTCTAATATCCAAAGGAAAAGGTGGTGCCGCCTGCTAAATCCGCTCATGTTCGAATTAACTTCATTCACTTTACTTCACTAAAATAACTTTTTTACGTTTTAAGAAAACTCTCCTATGCAATTCCACTTGGCCACTGACCATAGGTCGATACAGAAAGGATGTGTACAGTGCACTATGCGCGTAAATAACATTGGTTGTTTGTGATATTGTATAGCGGTTCCGTAGTTTCGTTAGATCGATAAAGGGGTGCCTTTATCTACTTACCTTGCCAGGCAATTTACGTTTACCTTAGTGTATCTAACCTCGTCGTCTCTGGTCTCCCAAAAATGAAGAAACGGGGCCTAAATACCCGTTGCTTTATTGTTGGAAGATCAGAGAAGTGAGACAAGCTGTAAAGGAAAGAATTCTTTCTAGTGATTGGGTTAGTGCGGAGCTTTAGATTTGGGGACGAAGACAACTACGAGTACGAGACTTAACTTAAAAGTTTTTTCGCGTATACTCGAAAAATATTCAACCTGGAAAGCTTCATTGTATTATTTTTTGCCTGAAAAGTTAGTGCGGTTACTTTTTTTGGACAAGGTTTAGCCCTTCACGGTAGCAAAATGATTAAGCTTCTCAAATTTGATAACTTGTTCCCGCCACTACGACATTCTCGCTAAAGCTCGCAGTAGAATGACGACAGCTATCACGTTTTCCCTCCAAAATAACGCTGACTGACGTGTGAGCAATACTCAGTATTGAGAAAATCTCGTACTTGTAGTCGTCCTCGTCTCAGAATCTAAAGCTCTCTAGTAAATACCAAATATTCAATTCCAGCCTACGTGGCAAGCGTTAAAAGGGAAGGGGGAGGGGCAGGGGCAGGGGCAGGGGGAATTTCGGGCGCGCTAATTCCCCCTTCCCCTCCCCTTTTGACGGCTGCCACGTAGGCTAATCCATCCGAGTTTACACTCACTATACTACGATAAATGATCTAACGTTGAAACATTAGAGGGGCCATGAAGAGAAAACCTACACCTAACAATATAAAAAAATAAAGTATAATGTCTGAGTCTCTTGCGATATATGTGCCCTCGACAAATGTGGATCCAGAAAGGGGGCAGCCGAGGCTTCTGGTCGTTTACTTACTATTTATTGATTAAAGAACTCTTCGAGCATTTGACTCCAGAAATTTCAGACAAGAAATCAAAGCTCTGGAAGACTCGGAAATAGACTTTAGAAATAAAACAAAATTTCAGACAAAAATGGGTGGAGGAGTGCTCGACCCTCTGCTTGATTTGCCTGTGAGGCTACTGTAAACGTCATTACACTTAGTCTGTTGTAAGACCGGAAAGCTTAGCTACGATCTCCAATTAAGCAGTCTTGTCTCTCGATTACACGAACTAAACAAGCCGAACAGACGCTATTTTCTCGCGTTTGACATGCAAATAGACCATGTAGTGGGCGTAGAGCGCGAGACACGGGCGACGAGGGAAGGAGAAGCGCATATCTTGCGCTTCTCACATGCTTCGCGCTTTCCTTCGCTCGCCCGAAAAAAGCAGCAACATGTTATCCTCACCTCTGTTCCAAGCCAGGTTCGATTTTCAACTTTTGTCATACAAAGGACCCTATGGCCAGGGCAGTTTTGCTCTTCTGATAAGAATGTTCCTGTTTCAATGTTTACCATACTGTAATGGCGCTTGTCACGCTCACGGCTCCATAACAGCACATAACTAGAGGAATTTTCGGAGTTGCCATCAGTACTCGAAGAAACCATGGGATTTCCTAAAAAAAGAAACCCATTAGAAATAGTAGGCGTAAGACAGGACATGGACTAAAAGCGACGATAGCAGTGAGATCAGACAAGCGAACAGGTTTTTAAGTTCCAAAACGGTTACGTCCTTATTAGTCTGGATTTGACCACTCCCTGTTGTTCACTAACGTATAGTGAGACTTAAGGGAAAAGATTTTTTTAAAAAATATTTTATTTCAATCTCTGTCAACACTTAAACAAACACAATAAATTGCAGTATATTGATATTATTTAGGGAAAAGATGAACTGAAGAGTTCATCTGTTCATTTGAGACTGGATTTGAGGGGGTGATCCTAAGATACACTGCTTCTGTCCCCTGGTATGGTATCTTTGGTTTTTAAAATGGTGTCTGCGCATATCAAATTTTCCCCACATCTTTTTTCACGTCCTACAAAAACTGGAATTTAGAGTATATTTCTATCAATTTCACAGTGATTTGTTATCATGATGGTGGTCCTAGCATTAACTTACCGCTGGGCCAACATGACTGGCTTTTACGACTATTAAACGAGTACTTATCATTACTTTTTTGTTAAGTATGTAGAATGCAGTATTTCGTAGTATTTCCAACTCTGAAGTCTGAGGATGAAATCCTATGGTGTTACCATTCAAATGAAACCTCTTCAGTGGTACTTTTACAAGGTACTGTTTATTTGGTATGTAGTTCTAACTTTCGAGTCTGAGGATGAACTGCTGTGGTGTGACCATTCAAATTAAATCGTGCTATTTTAATATTTCCCAAAGAGAAATTTGGCCTTTGTCCGTAAAAAAGTGATTGTTGGCCCTTGCAGAAGCAAAAGAAGTGAAGGAGGTTTAGGCTTATTACCTGGTCCAGATTGTGACAGCCCATGAATGGCTGTAACTTTTTCCAGTCGTTCTTCGCTGGTTTCTGGAACAAGACGACACTGACAAAGGAATGCTGGCTCTTCCATCTGCCGCAATATTTCGCTGGCTGGCGGTCGCTTCTCTGGCAACTGATGCCAGCAAGATCTATAAATTGAAAACCAGTTCTAAATTCCGCAGCGAAATGGTTAATACGCAACGTTTGTTATTTAAAAAAAGTAAAGCTATGTTCACACTATACTTGATAGCTTTTGCGCCGGCGCGAAAACAATACCGGATGGGGCTTCTGTTCACACACAAGAACGGTGATTTTGGCGCGAACTCTGTAACGCAGCGAAGCTGCGCTGCCACCCACATCAGACGCCAGGGTACGGCCCCTCTATAAATAGAGATAAGGGTTATGAACTTCCCGCGCTTTTTAATTATTTGTTGTCTCGGCGTGACTAATTCACGTGACAACACTGAGGGTTTTTTTTTTTGACGAAGACTGTGCGATATAGTCGAAAGCTATACTAGGCTAGAGACTAGAATTTATTGTTTTCATACTTAAAGTGTATTTAAGTAAATCATATCTTACCTCATGATGCCTTCCAGTCGTGGTAACTGCGTATCTAAGGTATTTTTTTCCATTGATGGTCTTACTCCACGTCTAATCGCCTTCTTTATATCTACTACATTGCGATATTCACGGAAGGGCCGGCAGCCACTGAGAAGCTCATAAACGAAGACTGCAAAGGAGAAAATGTCCACCTAGAACAAAAACAAACGCCATGTGTTTGGATGATACGCTACTTACGGGTTTTAATATCGAACCTTGCAGATTGTATTTACTTCACTGTGCGTATTTATCACTATATAAAACAGTTACTGTTGTTGTTATCTTTCTGGCTAGTTTGGTGCTACTTCCAAAAAATTGTTTGAGTATTGGCGTTAACTACTAAAACCAAACAGAAGCTGCAAAGATGTGAAAAATGCTTTATGGAAACACGCAACGCCCTCTGGCTCATTGGGTTAATAATTAACACCGAAACAGGATTTATGACTGGGAATGCGATAGGCAGCCCAGTAAAAAACACTAAGCCTGCCTGTCCTAGTCAGAGTATATGATCGTCGATAATCTATAGCAAGCCCGAAAGACGACCTTTTCCCTCTTTCCCTCGTCTTATTTCGCGTCAACTGTTCTTAATGGGCAGGAGCCCACAAATGCACTTGCGAGGACTAGTTTCTTAATTTTGGACCGTACACAGGTGTGGTTTTGGTTGCACATTAGAGAAAACGCCCAGCAAAATTTCCTTATGGCGACAAATTAGTTTAATACGGTGAACATGGAGGATGGTCGGAAAAGCACGCTCGTAATGGTCAAGGAACGACGCCTGCCGTAACAACGACACCCAAGGATTTAGCCGCCACTCTGTAATGGATAGTGCCCAACTTTCACGTATTGGGAGGCAGGTGGCCTCCTATGCAGACATACTTTGGGTTTCAGCACACGTTCCTACCCTCTCCTCGCCTCTCCCGTCGCCCAAAAATAGTGAAATTACGCAACAGGACGGGAGAGGAAAGAAGACGGCAAACCTTGTGTGACTACCGTGACAACAATTTTGTTTGAAATAACTTTTCGCCAAACATCACTTTCCTTTAAACAGATCTTTTTGTAAAAACCACAAAACATTAATCCTAAGTGAAGATCACGACATAACATGCAAGTTATAGCCCTGTCACGTTTGTCAGACACAAACATTTTGCTGTCCTCTTCTTCCTGCCGTCCTGTTGTGTAAACTCACTAATGACTCCAGAGGAGGCAAAACCTCGAGGGAGCTTCACTACAATTAGACTCCAATAAAAATGTGCTACTCCGAGCCAATTACCTTTTCGTCATATCCAACCCCGGTCCGAATTTCGGGTGCTTGATACCCCGGCGTTCCTTCCTCTCCGGCAACTCCCTGGGGTGTAGCAAAACACGATATCCCGTAGTCGGAGAGCTTGACGTTAAGCAGACTGGTCTCGTCCAAAGACCAGACTAACACATTGTCGGCTTTAAGATCTCGGTAAATGATGTCACAATCGTGAAGATACCAAATGGCGCTGGCGACCTGGCAAAAAAAAAAATGGAAATATGAGCCCACAAGGGAAACTAGTAGCATCTTTCACACAAGCGATAGCCCTTCGTCAACAGCAGATGAAAAAACATGCACCACAGTTTCTTTAAAAACTTACCTCTTCGTTCCCTTCCAATCATTACTTAACACAACAGCGGTCGAGATATCCACCTAAGTATTCTTTGACTTATTATGACCACAATATTGAAGACCTATCTTTGGTAAGGATTTTTTCAGGAATCCGGTTCAGAGGCTTGTTTCTCAAAAGTCCCCAAAATTAAAGGGCTCGAAAAGCTGCTGCTGTTTATGTTCAAGATCGGGGTTCAATAGTTTTGCAAATGATTGATAAAACTATCAGTTAACAATACAAAACGGACTGGTTTGTTACCCAGGATTCGCGCTTTTATTCTTTAGGTTTGGTTTGAATATTTGATTTCAGTCACGAAAAGTTATCAAGACTTTCGGGAATCGGGTCCCTGAAATCACACAACGTAAGGGAATCCGGACACCGGAATTGTAGAAGCGTGAATCTTGGGCTTTGGAATCCGGAATACAAGTTAAAAAAGAATCCGGAATCCAGTAATTGGGACCCGGAATCCACTACGTGGAATCCACAATTCAAGACTGTCTTGGATTCCCTTACATGGGGCGACAGGAAAGAAAACAAGTCAGGAGAATACAAGACACGGAATGAATTAAAGTAAAACCCCGCGTATAAGAACCTGGTTTTTCAGGACCGTTTAGGCTAAAATTTTCATTTCAAGCCCCCTCTACATAAGAACCTATTGAGGCTAAAATTTTAGTTAGGTTCTTATCAGTGGAGTTGCTGTAAGAGTGTATCAACTTTGAAATGGCATTTCAGAGAACTAACTATGAGTTTGTTTGTTATGTTTTGTTAAGGACATACCTGCACTGTACTGCCTTTAGGCATTATGGTATAAACGATTTATATTGTATTATGAGATGATATTTATAATATACTTAAATGAAATTCAGATGAAAATATAAGAACCTATTTTAAGAACCTTGGTAGTCTAAATTTGCTTTAAGTACCATTTATATAAGAACCTGTTAAGGCTAAATTAAAAAATCCAGGTTCTTATACGCGGGGTTTTACTGTAAGTCTTAACGGGAATAGCTTATAAATTTACCTGGAATGCCATTTTGTAAGACAGCTCGCGCCCGAGTATAGGCTCGCGAGACCGAGCAACACAGGTCTCCTGGCTCTGCTCTCTCTCCTCGCGCTTCGTAGAAAGCTCTTCAAGTACAGCAGCTAGGCTGCCATAGGGAGCGAGCTCCAACACAAAACACAGTGGGTGCAAGGAAATACCGAGAAGTCGGACTACACATGGGTGGCTTAAACGGCAAAGGACAGCAACCTAAACAAATATTCATTTCAAAGAGTCAAACAAAAACATTGATCACTGGAGCGATTTTCGCATAGTCTGGAAATTAGGGGTAATCACAGCAAACCAATGAGCGCACTATAAAGTACGAGTGCCAAGTTACAGTTGAAGTGCCATTAGTTGCCATGGCAACCTTAAGCTCTGCTAGTTGCAACAGTACATATGAGTTGCCATAGTAACTACCCATGGTTTTAGCCTAGACGCTCCTTGAATGAAAAGCCCTTAAATACGGGGAGAAAAAACATCAACTGCAACAAAACAAACGAAAGAGCAATGGTATACAATGTAACGAAAACGGGATTGGCGAGGAAGACAAGAGGAAACGAGTAAGGCATCTGTTGACCTCACCAACAAGCAGTATAATGCCAATGGATTGCAAGAAAAGTTTATGATTACATAATGATAAAATGCACGATCACAAGGAGTCCTCATAAACGAAACGTCAATAAAATATTCTGTTCAATGAATCAATCATACAAGTAATCATTTACCTATCTACCTTTCGTCTAATGGGCTGACAAGTTCATTCAAGATGCGTACGTACCAACATAACATTTACTTGAAAAATATAGAGAATTTTTTAAAAAAGAAAACACAACGACTAGATGCATCATCAATTCAAAACTACAATTTATTTTATTTTATTTGCCACACTAATTACAAAAAATATAGGAAAAGAAAAAGAAAAAAAAAAAAAAAAAAGAAGTGGCGAGGAGACCTAACAGAAACTATAGGAGCTTATGAGAGGTTAGGCCTCCTCGAACTATGAGCTAGAGCTGTTTCACATCAATTGAAGAGAAGAAGGCGAAAAGTCGAAGATGGAAAGATTTATAAACTGTTTTCATACTTACTCAATAATTTAATCTTCAGTTTTTTCTTAAAAGAGGAGAGGGATTGAGAGTTGATGATCTTGTTGTCAAGTGAATTAAAAAACTTAGGCCCTTGAAAAAAGGGTGAGAACTTCTTCGTGTTTGTACGACAATACGGTAGACGGTAGGCCTGGGAATTTCTTGTATTGTAAGAGTGGAATTGATTGCTTTGAGAGAAATTGTTATTAAACTTTGGAGGTAAGAATGAATTTTTGCAAGAATACATAAATTGGCCCAGTTGAAGCAAATGGATATCATTAAATTTTAGTATACCGAGGTCCTTAAAGATGGGGTCAGTATGAGCATTAAAATGTGATTTATTAATAATTCTAATAATGCGCTTTTGCAGGATAACAAGGCGGCGGAGATTAGTTTTATAGGTCGAAGCCCAAACGATATTGCAGTAGTAAAAATAAGGATAAATTAAGGAATAGTAGAGCATACGTAAAGACGATTTAGGAAGAAAGAAGCTGCATCTAGATATTATACCGATTGACTTCGCAACTTTACTTGCAACGTGAGATATTTCCGACTTCCAATTTAGGTTTTCATCCAAAATTACGCCTAGAAAATTTGTCTCCTTTGCTTTAAAAATATTTTGATTATCTATACTTATTTGAAAATTACAAATTGAACGCTTTTGTCTTGGTTTGAAGACCATAAATTTAGTCTTTTTAAGATTTAGAGAAAGCTTGTTTGCTTTAAACCAGATTGACAGTTTGTCCATCTCCAAGTTTAACATATCTGAGAGATAGTTCAGATCTTTATGTGACATGAATACATTGGTATCGTCAGCGAACAATAATAAACAAATGCATGTGACTATAAATTATAAGAACTAAGATTACTAAAATTGCTACGATTAAAAATGAATAGATAATAGCTAACAACTGAATACGAGATTGAAAATGGAATTAAAGCATTTCACATCGACTTTGCGAAATTGGGAAGATTTTCCCTCTTTACTCTTTACTCTGGCAAGGAGCGATAGTCAAATCACTACATCGCGGGTTTTTTTGGGGTACGCCATACGCTTGGGCATTTTTCTACATGCGTAACATGTGTCTGCGCGTATTAGCTGGTTATTGAGTAGTACTTTCCGCTTTCTCGCTAAACATAAGCAGAATCCCGTGGATTTCAAAATGTTAAAAATAACGCTTGCTTTGATCTCCTTTTCAACCGTTGGAGGATGAAGCACTCGGATAACCGTATAAACCCAAACCTACAGAAAATTTGCTCTGCCAACTGCCAACTGAGAAGTACTAAAACTAGAATGATTTTACCTCTTGTCGTAAATCCCAGAATGCTTTAACAATCTTGGTCTTCTCCAGTTCCTCCTCCATATCATCTTCAAACGAAGTCGAACGGAAATCTGATCTGCGCAAGCTCGAACTCTCGCTTCGGTGAGGTCTGCGATAGCCAGCGCCTCCTACAGTTCTGGGCCTAGTGTCTCCAAGACCACTATCATGAGGCGACCTAGGCACCAAAGAAAACGAGAAAGAATATCCACAGGTTCTTCACAGGTCCGAAGAGTGACCAATATTAATTTTTTCCTATCAGTGTCGCTATATTATCAAGAGAGAAGGTTATGAGGATTACTAAAATGATCAGCAACGGAAAAAAATGCTTTGATCTTTTCAAATTCTCTCAACTAAGTCTTCGACGGAATTTAGCGAAATCAGTATGAACAATTTGTATTTGGATACTTGGCGAACGCTCGTGGTAAATGCCGAATATCTATAGCGTCTGTTTCTAATTTAGAGCTTTAGCGTAACTATTCGCTCCGTTGGGTTGCTTGCTGAAGTTAGCCACAGCTGATGAATGAAAGGCTGCTAATTTAACACTCAGGTTTACATTTGCCACTGTAAACGGTTCATGAGCAGGATTAGCGCTCTTTGACTCCACAGACGTCTTAAATAGCAACCGGAAGTTTGATATTTCGCTCGATGGAACGTTTTCGACTAACACAACGAGTTTGAATGCCATTGTTTTAACTCCTGTATAGTAGTGAGGTACCAAGTTTTCGAGTCAGAGCACTGAAAGAGAGAATAACTGAAATTACAGTTACTATATTTGACTGGTCCAGGGCGATTAGAGCGATATGGACTTACAATTCGGAAGCCACGAATTCAAGCCCCGCCCTAAACACTAGCTCGATTAGTACTCGGCAATCCCGGATGTCCTCGACCATGCTTGTAAATAGCCAACTGGTTTGTCTCTAGCCAGTTGAGGTTTTTTCTTGTTATGTTTCTTTCGATCATTTGTCTCTGCCTTTATTTGTGGTCTTCAATGTAAGCTAATCGATTACCAATAATTGGGTTAGTACCCCCGCAAAATCGTTTTACTTTTACTTTGTTTTTCAATTTTAACGACACCTTATCGACTGTTTCTGTCTTACCCTTCATTGTAACTGCAACAGAAACGAGTGCAGTCCAATTTTGTCTAAAATCAGAGCTACTAATTGCCTATCATACTAAGGATTGCTTCTCATAGTTGTGATTAACCAAGAATTAATTCGGTATTAGCGGTATTGGTAGTTAATCAACCCAAATACTAACTCCTTCCCCCGCCTACTCCTCCCTTTTCTCCCTTACCCCACCCCACCCTACCCCAAACAATTTACTTTTTAATCATAACGTCCGTTGGTTAGTAAGGCTTTTCATGTGATTTTGTATCTATTACTTAATTACCCTGTAAGCTTCGTAGAGTGGAACGTTTTAACGGCCACAGCTTCGTTCCTGTAGAAGCCACGATAAACCTCTCCCGAACCTCCACTTCCGATCCTATGTGATTCGAGCGCTTCAAACTTGAACTGGCTGTGATCAACCAAGAAATGACGCGGCAGATCTGCCATCATCAAATCAGGAATAAGGTATTGAAGCGACACCACTCTGTCAGGGTGGTAGGGACAGTTTATTGTGGAGAAAGTCAGAGCCGTTGCTGCGCATGTCGGAAGCGTGAAATTGTGCGGCCGCGGAGGATGCAAGGGGTGAAAAGAAGCGGGAAACTCCATGGAAACGGAACGCTTCATTGACGGGCGATGTGACATCATCAACTCGTTGCAGAGTGGACATGGGATTAATCGCCGAACCAACGGCAATCCGTACATGTCTGTCTCGTCTAGACCTAAGTTAACACAAGGAATAAAAAAGCCGTTTTGTATAGCAAGACCGTACCTTAAATCATTAAAAACCATCGAGCAATTGTTTGTGTTAATGGCTTGGAAATAATTTTTCCTTGTGAGAATTGGAACATATCAAGACAAAAACCTTTTTTGGGAAAAACCTCAAACATTTCTGTGACATCGAATCCAAAGCAAACTTTGACCTACTAAGAGGTGGGATCATCTGCTCAAATTTGCAAGGTACAACACCGACCCGGTCTCATACTTAAAGTAGCCAATTATGCAGTACATTGTGAATGCTTCTAACGTTTCATCCTTGACCAAATCGTACACTGTGGAGATGCAAACGAAAGCTAGAGAGCAGTACGTTGATGTGGCCGTGTTTATTATGACAACGTAGTGATGAGCACACTCAGTTGAAACGCTTTTGCCAGTATTTTTGCATGGTATTATAACTCTTTCATTACTTGGGAAAATGAAGTTTGGGACTTCTCTTTCGTCAAAATTTAAACCTGGACACGCTTAGGTGAGGAAGGATAGGGTCTTTTCCCGCTTACTTACAAGAGAACTGTATACGGACAAGAAGGGAGAATTTCGACTTTCATATTCACCTGGATACCATTCGGTTATCAGAGCATCAATTTGGTCGACAATGAATCCAATTGCAGCAAAGTCATTTTGCTCCGACCAAACAGTGATGGCTATACCGCTGATTTCCTGAAATGCCACCTTATTTCCCTGACTGATGGGGATCTAAAAAGTACAAGCACATAAACGAACAGACAATTACGTATTTGTTGTTGTTTTTTTTTGCGAACTTACCCAACAGGACGGGAGAGGAAAAAAGACGTGTGTGACAACTGTGACAAAAATTTTGTTTGAAATGAATTTTCGCAAAACTTCACTTTTCTTTAGACAGATCTTCTTGATAAAGACCAGAAAACATTAATGTTCAGTGAATATCACGACAAAACACGCCAGTAATAGCCCTGTCACTTTTTGTCACTTTTGTCACACGTCTTCTTCTTCCAGCCGACCTGTTGCGTAAACTCACTAATAGCAATAAGCGCGGGGGACGATCCCGTCGTCCCCCGCGCTCTCATTTTTCCCTCCCCACTGCCTCCTTGCGACACAAAAAGGCTTCTGCGGAGGACAGAGTGCTCAGGTTCTCCTTGGGTTTTTCGGCTGCGCCTTTCCCAGGATCCTTCTTGCTTTGACGCCGAAATATTCCCAAGAAGCGCTTCGGGACAAGGCAGAAGTAACTAATGTTATCTAAAAAGGATACCGTAAAATTCCGGAAATAAGGCCCTCCACGTATAAGCCCCTCTAAATTTAAGCCCCCCAAACTCGTAACGCAAAAGACCCTCCGTTAAATCCCCCTCCAAGTATAAGCTCCCTCGGGAGCTTGTACTTGGAAATTGCCCTCAAATACAAAGTAAAACAAAGCAAAACCGGTAAATGTCCTTCAACTATAAGGCTAGCCCAATCGATTTTAAAACGCAAATTTCCTTACGTAGATAAGCCCCTTCGAATATATTGAAAAATACAAGCCCCGGGGCTTATCTTCGGAATTTTACGGTAGTTTCCAAAGTTAAGCAATTAATAGATACTAAGAAGGTGCAAAAACAGTAGACGATAAAAAGATTTCACGATCACCTTTGTTTGATCATCATTTGATACAGAATAAGTATTGACTTGTGATAAAAGTGTTTCAGTTTTGCATCCTTCAGTTTACAATCGTTTGGCTCTAGAATAGGACTGACTTCCAAACAGGTGAAACAATAAACAATCGACCCCAGAAATCGTTGCCCTGAGAGCTTGTGCCCATTCTCTCTGTTAAAAAAATAAAGGTTCTCCAGAAGCTCCGGCAACCGAGGACAGCGAAAATCGCCGTCTGGTCGTCACCAAAGCGCCGGCTACTTAGAGAAAATACTTTTTTGTAAGGAGGACAATAAATTGGTCTTATTTGTTACGCAACCTTGGTCGGTGAAAGCAAACGTGATATAAAAGAAGCAAATAAGAGTATTTAAAGGTGCCATTCTCATAGTTACACCCATTTCCCTTGTCGCCCAAAATGCAGTGAAATTCACTTTTCAGGTCTCCAAGATTTAAAATTTCCCCGGGTAGTCCTCCAGACCAAACCCATAAAAAAAGAAAGTTAATTCCCCCTTTCTATACCTAACCCCTCCCCCCCCCCCAAACCACCACCACACACACACGAGCAGTTTTCCATGTAATGTATTGCCGCCTAAAAGAATTCTCCTTGATTTTGCGTGGACGAAGTAGACCCACCGTAATCGAGTCGTTGGGTATCCTGTGATTTCGTAAGCAGTCTGTGCATGTTCATAAGCGCGAGAAATCGAGAAACGAAGTTGTCGGTTTGTAATTAATTGCATTAAAGCCTGATCAGGAAAGTATTGACTCTTCTTATGCAACCCAGCTAGGTGCGTAATTCCGTAAGGCGACGCAACATAACCTTTGATTAATACCAGTTTAAGTTTCTGGAGCGCCCTGCGTGAGCAATTGAGAGTCAGTATGTAGCTTATGGAGTGCATGGCAAATAGGGAAAATTTGACAACAGCCCACCAATCATGGTCACACAACACGAGAAACACAAAACCATCACGCAACCTACCAACTCCTGATATGACTCCACTTGGAAATAACCTCCTTCGTACACAACTCCAATTCCCTCACGCCAGTAAACCAAAGAATAGCTCTCTTCCTTTATTTGCTCAATTGCCCGCCATCTTTGCACTGAAACTATAAGCCTGGTGATCAGCCGGCTCCAGAAGCCGCTCGGGGTGTAGGCCATTTGGTAGTTTCTGCGCACGGTGGTGATTTCTTTGCTGTCGGTTGGATGGGGGCTTGAACGGTCGCGATCATTCTTCGCCTCACTCTGTACAAAGACAAAAGAGACGCATCACGAGCCACAAAAGACGCTATTTTGGCCTGAGATTATCGCGGCTTCTTATAACACAAAGCACCTTGGAATGTTACTACCCCAACTCTCTCCCTCTATTCTGTTATATTCTATTCTCCGCCACCCCTACAGGGAAGGTTGATAATAAAGGTAAAGCAACCACATTTTACGTCGATAACTCGTGACAGTAATTCAACTGATAAACGTGAGGTCGACGGTCTAAGAATGATCTAAGAATCTGGATAACTTGGGGCGGTTTCCTGTATTGTAAGGGATAAAAATGTGATGACACAGTCACGAAAAGAAGCGGAACCCCAGAACTGAAGTGAAAGGAATTGACCACCGCGCCAACGCGTCCTCACTGTGCAAAGATGCAAGAAAAATGTTCATATTGCTGTGAACTTGCATACCTTTGCGTTGGCTCTTCTTCTAATGAGCTTCTGAAGTTGGTGAAGTTGCATTCCAGGTTTTTCCTTTGGCAGCATAGAAGGAATTAAAAGCTGTTTTTCGTCCAACGACAGAGCGATCTCAAAACGCTCCATAAGCTGAAGGTACTGCAAGATAATTTACAATCACAATTAATAGTTTGTACATCATTAAGGGAATAGAACCTTCCACGGTTTCTTCAACTTTGGACAATGCAAGGACAAGTTAGGGAACATCCATCGCCAATAGAAAGAGCGCCTTAAAACATGAGCCCATAACCCGGAGCGAGCAACTTCCATGCGCTAGTATCAAGGCGTTTTCACGGACCAGTTTATTTTTAGAACTGTTTTGGCGCGAATTTTGAATATCTTTTAGATTCCACAAACCAGTCAGCAAAACCTACAGACCTGAAAATGATATTTTTTGCCTTTTAATAACGTTTAGTTTTCCTTTTTGCGCTCATAGACATAACGGAGATTCTATTTTCGCGGGGAAAAGTGCCCTAAAATGTCTCTGGTCCGTGAAAACGCCCTGCCTGACATAGGCCTAGTATGGGAATTGCTCACACGGTAAAATTAGTACAATTGCCAAATTTGAAAGTGATACGTCTGAAGCGAGCGCATATATAGCTCCGGAAAGTCGCGAAAATTTACAGACGTTTGTATGGCAAGGGGCACACAAATGTCGGTGTAAAATTTCGCGACTTTGAGGAAGTATACAAATCTCGTATCCAGATCTCTTATAATATTCACAAAGCCGAGGGGGAGATCTGGTCAAGTAAGAAGTTCGATTTTTTGGATTCTATCATGCAAATTAGTTGTTTAATACTTCAAAAATTTAGGATTTATTTCTAGCATGCGCTCTTTCATCGCCTGTCACATTCCCAACAGGCAATCAAGTGACCAGATCGCGCCTTCGGCTTCGTCAACAAGAGATGTGAGTACGAGATTAGAGCTATATCTTTGTTAGTTTTCAGCAAATCACGTTCAAACTTGGCAAAGGCGCTCTGTCCAGGGGAGTTGACGGATTTTCCCTACCTTGTCCATGTCAAAACTTGAAAAAACCGTCAAAACGTCTATTAAAGTGCTTAAGGAGTGTAAAACACGGCTTAAATTTTAACCCCCAATTTTCCTCGCAAAAACACAAAGGGCCCAACAATTATTCAAACAAGCATTGGATCCCGGAAGACCTCGGGGAATGGATCTTCAAGAGATGTTTTCGAAGAAGTTCGCAGTTCGGATTTTATCAAGTCTTCTCTGCTGCGCTCTGTTTATAAACGCTTCTGCTAATTAATAAACTATGTGTTAACCTTTTAAGGAAGCTTTGCAGAGTTGTAAATCTGATCTTTCAGGACATTGAGAAAAGTTTTAAGGTCATTTTGGTAAAAATGGTATCCATTGACGCATATTTAGTCCGGAGGTTTTAGGCAGAAAGTTCATTAAGATGCCGAACATCTTTGTGTAGATCTACGACCTTTAATAGTCGTTGGATTCAGTAACGAAGAAAAAAGAACCTACATTATAATTTTGTGGTACGCCTGGTCCCCTCACGCCGATGAACGGGCAGATAGGGGGGGGGCAATGACAGACTGATCGCACTTTAAGTCGACTGATAAACATTACCTGCGGTATAAATTCTTCAGGAAACTTTGGATCTCTTAACACTAATTCCAGATCTTTCATCTTCATGACGCCGTCCACAATGAAAGGATTTCTCTCTCGAATGGTGACAAGAGTAGCGATCAGGTCACACACCCAAGAAGGATCGATGAAGTAAAGATGGTTTAAACCGCGCAGCTGGTCATTGTAGTGAAGAAGGACTCCGTTTTCGTGCAAAAACCTTGTGGCTGGAGAAAGAAACGGTACAGAAAAGTTCTAGCAAAGACATTCTGACACATTTCTCCCAGAGCTAAGGGTTATGTTCACACTTGATGTCCTGGCACGGTGCCCGAGTACAGTACTCGCTGGGCACTAATGTGAACACACCCTTTTTTCAAGTATCCACGCCAGAGTTAGGGCACGATGTGGTGCCCGACTACGAGGTCAAGACCTTGTAACATGGCTCTAAAGTGGGCACGGGTCCCTGTTTGCTCACGTTTTCTGTCAGTTCCGAGGCAATCCACTGCTTAGAATAACCAAAACTCCCTACTTCGCTCTAGTTTTAAAATGGCGTCTGATAAGGCGAAATTGAGAAAATAGTAGGCCATTTCCCAGTTCCCCCGTGCCACTGTATCAAAACGAGGTTAAGTGCTCAGCCTTTGATATGGACATGATTTTTCATTCTCGTGCAAGAAAGGTTATGCACTTGACCTTACTTTGAGGTGTGAACACAACACCATTTCGTGCCGTTTCCCAGGCGCTAGTTCTCGGGTATCAACTGTGAACATAACTTAACAGTTGTTAGCCATGCAGGGTTAGGTAAACTTTGAAGCAAAGTGTTGCGAGAGCGATTTTCGTATGACCTTGAACAATGGTTTCGGTAAGTTTTCGTTATTTGTTTTATCAGCCAATGGACAAAGACATCACAACATGGCCTCTTCGTTTTCCCGCCAAAGAAAACCCTAATATGGAGGAGGCATTGTTCGATTGGCCAATGGTGTTGCAGCATGACGTCAGAGCGAAGTAGCAGTGGATTTCTAGAAAGTTCTCGGACATGAAGTTTTTTCACTCGAGGGTTCGCTTAACCAACTAAAAGCCACGTGCGTTTGTATCCGTTCGATAAACCAATCAAATCGCTCTATTTCCGTTCGTTTGTGGTTTCTGTTTTTTTCGCGCGTTTTCATTTTAAGGTCATACGAAAATCGCTCTATCTAGAAACATGTAATCGAGGCAATTGTTGAGCTCAAGTTATGACAAGACAAGTCAATGACAATCTAAGCAATATATAAGAAGGTAAATGCAACTGTGTATAACGGCGAATAGGCCTTTCAGGAACCAAGCCAAAGGCCTCAACGAGATGAGAACCCAAACATAAAATGTGTTTCTATAGCTGTTCCCTTTTCCGAAACTTGACTGAGCCTACCTAAAGTCAACTCCTCCGTATCCAGAATGTCATTCTGGGGACTAGACTTGGCGAGTTGAAGGATTTCGTCCTCTAGAAGAATGGGCGGTTCACCAGTGGATCGTCTTCGCTCGGCTTCCTGAATAACAGCTTGCTGCAGATCAATGTAGCTTTGCGGTACCTGTATGAAGACAGATCAACAAGACAATTCAGAGATTACGTCACCCTTGTTCTAAGTTTTTCTGCAACGAAAGCTCACGCCATCGTGAAAAAATGACTTTGTTCATCGTGACAAAGTATCCTCACGCGCTACACAGTCGTTTTTTGTTTAGACGTCTAAAGAAACGTAGCCTGCGAAAACATCCGTTTCTCCTCACTCTTCGTCGCTGAGGACGTTTCGCTTGGAGGAACGTCTGCGACTCAGCGACAGAAATTCCATACTGTTGACGTAAAATCTGTCCAGAATCCGGTCAGAAGCGCTGATTGGTCGACGGAGCAGTTACATTGTTTTAGCTATTGTTTACAAATGACAGACAAAAGACAAAAGGCCAAAAAGGTCAAATGTAAACACGAAGAATCTCTAACAAAACAGTCAATATTTGTGGAATATAGTCTTCTCTAGAAGAAGCATTTGAGTTTTGCTGGAGCTCGTGGGCAGATCAACACAACACTTTACCAAAATGGACCAGAAGACACGCAAAATTAGACAAATTTATATTTGGAACCCCATGACTACCGCATTTATTTTGTAAACATTGATTTGCGTCATCAGTATGGAATTTCTGTCACTGAGTCGCAGACGTTCCTCCGCGCGAAACGTCCTCAGCGACGAAGAGCGAGGAGAAACGGATGTTTTCGCAGGCTAAAAGAAACGTTGTGTGACAACACAGAGAGTAGACTAGCATAAACTACTAAAATTAAACCTCACGAATAAAGTAACAATAAGAAAAGCTCAAGCAAGAGTCGTTTTGATTTTCATTATTTGTACAAAATCTGGTATGACGAAGAGTAACCTACTTACATTTCTATAATGCGGGCCTTTATTCCATTGCGTTTGCTCTATAGAATCTATATCCCTTATGCTCGTGATTTAAGATACATGTATAAAAGAGGCGAGATTTCACGATGTGGGTATTCTCGTACCCAGATCTCTTGTCGACTGAGTACGAGATTACAATATGCGTAGTATTTATTCTCGTAGCCAAAAAAGGAAAAAAAATCAGTAATTAGAGTTCGCAAAAAGAAGTGAGACATACACGCGGATATCATATGCGTGATCTGTTTGCTTCCCAATGAACAAATATTGTCATAGTGGAACAATAAAATTGGGGATGGGGGGATTTTCCGCGTCCAACTTACCCTTCGACCAATTATGTTTTCTCCGTTGTCCTTAACCTTAAGCGCCTTGCTGTATATCATCTCCTTCAACTCGGGGATGTTCTCGCCAGTTACCGGAGACACCATGATATTTCCGACAATTTTCGGGAATCCTTGGTTATCCAGGTATTTCTTGACAATGCTGTGCTTGAGTGCGTCTGCGCGAGCTTGTCGGTTGTTCTTCGGGAGTAAGTCGACGTGCGTTCCGACGATTAACACTTCGGAAAAGGGCGCGCGTGCCTGGAAAAGAGAGCATTTTTTATTTTTCAAGTAAGCATCCCTTTTTATTGCGGAAAACGTAAGGGGCACGTTTTCTAATTTGCTTGTATTGACGACAAAATTGTGATTGATTAGGACAAACGCTGACATACAACCGGCAAAAACAGCGTAGAAGACCAAGAAAATTTATGGTAAAAATTGAGAACCTTACTTAAACTGGAATTCAAGTAAGTAGCGATTAAGAGAGAACCTTTCATGCCACGATTTCAGTCCTACAAGTTCTTTTAATTCCAAAGTTGGCTAAGGGTGTGTTTCCATCAGAAAACTCCCATCGGCGCGAGTTTCATACCGGGATGTCTTTTTGATTTTGTATCCCGTTTACATGATGACTTCACTTAATGTCAATGAAATATACGTGTGATTCAAAATCGCAAACATTACGCATGCGCTACCCGTTCCAGTCCACCCGCAGACTGATTTCACACCGACACATGTGGTCGGTTCTTTAGGTCGGTTCGCGTTTACATGATACCGTTGCGAGATTTCGTACCGGAGTGAAATTCTCGCCCCGGTACAACAACTGTGGTGAACTCAGGCCGGGGTGACTCGCGCCGGCATGACATTTTGTGGTGGTATCATGTAAACAAATATAGAGCCATGAGAGGGAACCGGAGTGAACTCGCTCCGGGGCGAAAGTCGCGCCAGTGTCATGTAAACACCCGCTAAGTCAACGTGGTGACCGGTCGTTTCGCTAACGCCCTGTTCGCTAACGTCTAATGTCATTCCTTTTAAGAAGCGAAACGAGCGTTGAGCATGTATATACCTTACTAAAGACATTGTTAAAAAAAATGTAGCGTGGATAATTTTTTCGCAACGACTTTTACTAGTTTTAGAAAGACTTGTTCACTTGTATTAAGTAATGGTCTCAGCGATAAGCCCCTTGAAGGGTTCACGAGTTTTTTTTACCTGTATATTAAGAAGCCAGCGTCTGAGGCTTTCTACTCCTCCCTCTCCATGCGTAACGTTCCACACAGCCAGGTAAAGCGTGTTGGGCGACAGAAACATTTGATGCGCTGCGTAATAAACGTTCTGTCCTGCCAGATCCCATGTACTGAATGTTATCGAAGGCGCATCACTCTAAAAGAGAAACAAACAGAAAGAAGGCTATACCCTCTGTAACCTCTATCAAAGACAACGCTAACCGTAACATCAGTCACAGTGGTACTTGTACTGGATTAAAGAGGAAATGGATCCCAATTGCAAGTGATCGAGACATTGCACAGCTGGTTCGTATTGCCCCCCGATTCAGATCTGAGAGAGCGTGGAACCCGGCTTCGCACTGGGCAAAAAAGGCGAAAAATCGTCGAGCGAAAACGAGTCGAACTGAAGGGAGTCTGGCGAGGGGAAAGAGCACTGCTCGCCGATTTTTTGCTGTTTCACCCCGTTTGGTCAAGCCAGTTGTTTGATTTGCGGGCGTTGTCGTCAACTGACGTTCCCGTTCTATTGCTAAATCAGCCTATATCTGTCCCCCGTACAAATTCCACCCTCTGTAAAGCAGATGCTACGACGGAACAGCTCCTTCACTTCCGCTCGCACACAGTCTTGCATAAATTGCACAAGCAAGTAAATAATACAAACTGATGACGTTGACCAACATTAAGAAATAATGACACAGGATTCCCAGGCTTCAATCACATACCTGTGCCAGAAAGCGAGGCAGAGTGAACCTAGAAGAGGACGATATCTGCACTTGCCACTCATTAATTACAATACCAACAGTAGACAGATTGGGAGGCAGCTTCTGGCCTTTAAGAGCCGATAACAGCGTGGTCTTTCCACGACCCTACAAAAAGGTACAACCAGTGTCACAAGCGAGTGAAGCACAATGAGCCAAAACAGATCTAAAAACTTTCCTTACACTGACGCGCAACAGAAAAAGCCTTCACCTAACTAAAAGCAGAAATTGGATGATAAAAACGGAAAACGAAAATCTTACTGCTGTCTAAGTGTTGAAAGATACCGTTCATTGCCCCTTAGTCAGAATAGAACAATAAAATTGTGCCGTCGCGTTACGTCCTTTATCACCAGAGTTCTTTATCACCAGATCACCTCACGGCGGGAGCTTGTTTCAGTGAAATGACTATAATTTTTTGGCAGGAGAGTTTGCTCGTGTTCGTGATACCAAAGCAAGGCGAGAGGTGATTGCAATAACTGTAAAACCGTAAATCAATCAACTTCAAAAGCACCTTTGGAGCTGATGTTTTCGGTGCGACGATATTCGTAATTTTAAAAAAAATTTGGCAACCGCAAAATTATGACTTTAAGTTAAAAGAGACAACACATTTTGTCATTGTCGCGTGGATGGGCCCTAACTAGCACGCTACCTGAACACATTTTGTCATTGTCGCGTGGATGGGCCCTAACTAGCACGCTACCTGAAGACATTTTGCCATTGTCGCGTGGATGGGCCCTAACTAGCACGCTACCAGAACACATTTTGCCATTGTCGCGTGGATGGGCCCTAACTAGCACGCTACCAGAACACATTTTGCCATTATCGCGTGGATGGGCCCTAACTAGCACGCTACCAGAACACATTTTGCCATTGTCGCGTGGATGGGCCCTAACTAGCACGCTACCTGAACACATTTTGCCATTGTCGCGTGGATGGGCCCTAACTAGCACGCTACCTGAACACATTTTGCCATTGTCGCGTGGATGGGCCCTAACTAGCACGCTACCTGAACACAGTTTGCCATTGTCGCGTGGATGGGCCCTAACTAGCACGCTACCTGAACACAGTTTGTTATTACCGCGTGGATGGGCCCTAACTAGCACGCTACCTGAACACAGTTTGCCATTGTCGCGTGGATGGGCCCTAACTAGCACGCTACCTGAACACATTTTGTCATTGTCGCGTGGATGGGCCATAATTAGCACGCTGCTCGAACTATTACTTACTTGTAACCCGACTACCATAAGTTTCATGCGGTAATACGGAACTGCCTTTCGCAACGTGGCTCTTAGGTACGCCAGTGTGTCTTTAGGTCGAACGCCATTTTCTCCTAAAAACAAAATGCAAGGTTAGTGAGCTGGGCAGTTTTAGAATGATCGTCGTAAAAAATTGTTTCAAAGAAAAACAAATATCGGCGACAAAACTGTTGGGTTAATATCCTCAAATGGGGTAACTTCGGAGAACAAAAAAACTCACTTCCCCTCTTCCCCTCGCCTCTGTTGAAAGTTGGGGTGATTGTAATGTTCTTTCTCATGGGTAGCTCGAAAAGCGGCACAACATTACATGGAGCGGTGGGGAAAGGAAAGTTTCATTCTTCTTTAGAAGTCGGGAAAACGTCAGACAGGCCATTAGGGCAAATTGTCTCACTTAATTTTGTCGCTTATTGTAGTCTCCTTCAAGGTTTTGATGTGGTCGAAAGCAAACTTGTTTTGCAACAAGTGACGTATCTCCCGTGTACGGCGTGACTCCCACGTAATTTTATCCAATCAGAAGTCAGTATTCACGCAACCTGCAGCAACTTGATTTGTTGCAAGACAGGTTTGAACGTAGGTAGTTAAACGCGCAACATCACTTCTGAATTCGTCTTGCAGCAATGTTTCGAAACAAAATGCAGTTTTTTGTTGCACGTTTTATCGTAGCTATATTCAGTTGTCAGCTCACCTGGTCTCACGTGTTTAGGAATGCCAGGAAGGGTTAACTTCGTGAGTCGAAGCTGCCAGCACTCACGTAAATTACCAAGCTCAGGAGGAAGTGTTCGTAATTCTGGATTGCTGTAACAAAATATAACAAAACAGGTTAATTCAGCCTCCTTCCCAGGCCAGTTTGCGCGATTCGAGTGAGCAGAGGAGGCTTGAAACCGAGCGCGATAGCGAGAGGCGTCCTCGGCGAATTCTTCCGACTAGCTTGACAGGTGACGTCACGTCACATCCGATAAATCGCCGAGGACGACTGGGAACGACAAGCACTGATTTCGAATCAAAGGGCTCTTCGAGCCGACTCGTGAATTGATAAAGTCGAAGATTATGCGAAAACAATCAATAAATTAAGTAGTTTCTCATTTCCTAAGCCTCTGTAAGAATATCCCAACCTTTACATTCCACTTTCTTTACACAGATTATCTTAATTCGTTATCTCAGAGACAACTCTAATGGAAAAACTAAGACCAGAATCCCAAAAATCGACCGTGCACATGAGTCACAACCGTGACGGGCTTATAACAACCCGTGGTACATTTTCTCTCGGGGACTGTGTCGCTTTTCTTTTTGGTTTCCTTCCTAGTCCCCAAGAATTTCCTAGTCCAACTATAGCTCTTTAACCGTATTCTTTCATTCTCTATGGACTAAAAAAGGAAACGAAAAGAAAGGCCTTCTTACTTGCTTAAATCCAGTTCTATGAGACTCAGCAGTCGGCAGACACTTAACGGAATTACGTGTAAGATGTTATCGTTTAGAAGAAGCGTTTCCAGCGTAGGAGAGAACAGTGAGACGGGAACCTCACAATCAGTCTTGGCATCTTGAGCGTCTTCCTGGCTGGAACTCTTGAAAAACTGAAACCGCCTCGGTGTTCCGGTCTGTGAATCTATCAGTGGCTTGGCAGAAAGCTGCATCAAATCATAACAAAATTAAACACAACAACAAAACGAAAAACGGTCCTGACTGTTACTAGTAAGTCCTAGTTTATATGAAGAAAAGTTGTCCCGGGAAAGGGGGTCACCCTCCCAGCCTAGTCAACTTTAGCGAGTGTTTTATGTATATCAACAACAACAACAACAACAACAACAACAACAAAGTTGTCCCCTTTGCCCGAGCCAGCAACAATTGCGCATGCTCCAATTGTCGCTTTCACCGAGTTGACCTGGATGGGCGAGCCAAAGTGTCTATGACGAAGAAAGGTTTACGGTCCTTTCGCCTACAAGTCGTCTCGCCAACGTCCTGTTCGCTAACTTCTGAAGTCGCTTCGCTTACGTGTTGGGTCAGTTAGCTTACGGCTTTCGCCTGAACAGTGGCTGAAAGAACGAGGTATATACACGCGTATCGCACTTTTTTGTACCATGGCTGTCGGAGAGAACGAAGCATATACATGCACAGCGCTCATTCCGCTTCTTAGCGGAAGGTGATCCTACCATCAAAAAAGGTTGACCCGGCTAGGCAGGTTACCCTTCTAGCCAAGCCAACTCTTTCTTTCTCATTTAAACGGTTCCCCGCGTTTAGTTTGGAAATGTACGAAAAGCTGGCTCGCCCAGGGTAGCGCGGGTAGGCGAGTGACCCACGTAACAGTACTTATTGGCCATAGCGCGGGTAGGCGAGTGACCCTTCTACCAGGGACTACGTAACATTAATTATTGGCCATTTTGTGGTGGATTGTGAGACACGGTTTCTGCTGTTTAGAATTGCTTTAAAGGACTGACTGCTCTGGGACGCTATTATGGAGTCGTGTGCGTGTGCGTGTACGTGTGCGGTTAACACCTTGAACTCCGGATCAGGAGGTCCGGGGTTCAAGCCTCGCCCGTGGCGTTGTTTCCTTAGACAAGGAGCTTTACCCCCCTTTGTTTCTCTTCACCCAGGTGTATAAATGGGTACCAGTAACATACTGCTGGGGGGTAACCCTGGGATGGACTAGCATCCAGTCCAGGGGGGAGTAGCAATACTCTTAAGCATGCTTCATGTTAAGGAAATAGGGATAAGCTCCGCCCGTTTAGGCCTTAAGCTCGCGTGCACCTTTACGTTCTTTTTTTTGGCGGGGGGAGGACTCTCTCGCTACTACGACGTTGCGCAGAAAACTTGCTCAAAATTTTGTTTCCCTAAACAGTCCCATGATGCAATTCCACATAACATCGACCCAGTCCCTTCGCAAACTCAAAATAGTCAATCGTGGGCATCTGGTACGACTTATGAACGCAAAGGCTGTAGGGATTGTTCAAAGGGACAGATAAAAACACACTTGAAGTACGTCATGTTTGTTGGCCTGTCCCTCCAAACGATCCCAAGAAGCTTTGAGGTCGCATTTTGTACCCAGTTTTCACTCGTTTAGAACACGGCGAACTTACCTTGTTATGTGAAAGGTTTAATTTATGCAAAGTGGTACAGGTCCAAAACTCTTCATTTGGCAGTCGCCGGAGGCAATTGTGACTCACATCCAGGTCTTGAAGACAAGTCAGCTGGCAGATATTCCACGAAATGGTGCCCAGTTTGTTATATGAAAGATTCAGACGCTTCAGAGAACTCGCCCACACCAATTCCATATTGCAGGAAAAGTGCGTGAAGTTGTTGTGGGAAAGATCCAGGGCTTCCTGTCATCGCAAAATGGAAAGCATCATCCTTTAGCTTGACAAGCAAGAAACGAGAGTCTGGTGCTTTTCACTGATTTGATAGAGCTGACCGGCCAGACCATTTCCGTCGTAATAAAAAAAATTCAATGTTAACCAAAACCATCCAGCCAGATTAGTCAAATCCTTGCAAAAGTGGGCACGAAGAGATGGTTTTAAAACAAAAGCTCTGGGT